AAAGTTTCTTATATAAATAAACTGCTTTAAAAACCTTATAACCAATGATATATTTTTATCAATATTAATCAAGATTATTGATAAAATAAGTAGATAGTAGATATATAACTAAACTATTTAAATAAAAAACTTATAAGTAGATTTTAGATATAACAATTAGTATAAAACCTTCAGACAAACTATTTAAATTAGACAACAACTAAAATTATATACTTTTTCTATAATTACTCTTATAGTTATATAAACAGCTATTAGTTAAAACATGTTATTAATAAAATTTTGAATCACAAGTACTCATTTTAATATTAAAAAAACTCCAATTTTCTATAAATTTTATTTTATTTTATACTTATTTTAAAACTTTTCACAAAGCTTTATATTTAATTTTAACTTTTATTTTTAAATTATAAAATTTAAAATTTTTTAAATTTTTGCTTTAATTTAACTTAAATTATTCATTTTGTTTATAAAAATTTGGCAACTTAGTTATTAAACTAGAAAACCTAATATTTAATTATTTAAATTAAATAAATATATATAAATAAATTAATAAAATTAAATAACAGAGAATGGTAATCCTAGTGTAGTGGTTAGGTTGTTATTCTCCAAGTGGCAGGTCTAAAATTCAAATCTCACTTATAATAAAATTTGAAAATTATATCTGTGTTATGCTAACTGTCTTTTGTTAATCAGTTGGCCTTATGCAGTTGTAACTCAGATACACCAAGTCAGGTTTTACTAACATTGGAAGCTCAGGACATTTATGCTAAGTATAATGTTACATATATATAGAAGAATGTATAACTAGTTTTGTATAAGACTTTGGTGCAAACTCATGATAAGACCACTGAGTGTAGAAGACTAAGAAACCAAGATAATAGAAACTCACTTAGAAATTTCTAAATAAAAAGATAGCATGAACTTTTGACTATATCATTGGATTAGTTGAAGTTTATAAAACACCTTCATAGGAATTAAAGGTTAAACTGAATGTTAAATATGTATAGAAAAGCACATAACCAACTAGGCTGCTGAATTTGCTAGAAAAAAAGAATACAAAAATATATAATACTAGGTTATCTGGATTGGTAGTCTGAAAGAGACTGTTAGTTTCAAGTTGTGACTAGTAGAAAATGATGAAAAAGATGCTAGAAAAATAGATACTAAGATTTTAGTAAACTTTACAAGAGTAAAAATAGTGTAATGTAGCAGTTAAACAGATAATCTTTGTAACTGCAAGTGTTAGATAACTATAGTATGTTGTATAAAACTAAGTCTGTATGTATAAGACATAAAGGCTTTAGTAAGTTTTCTGTCAAAAATAAAGTAGTTCTAAGAGTAATAACTAGCATCAAGAACTTGAATGGATGTAGCTTTGAGATGTTCTCATGATACAAGAAGAATTGCATATGCAGAAGGTTTAAATAAGCAAGACTCTTAGTTGGCTTGCAGATATAGCAACTAGTATAAAACTTATATAGCAATATGTAAGCAGACTACTTAAATTAGACACCAAAGTGCATGTGTGGCTAGTTGTAATCTTCAATGTAAGGTAGCTCCTGGTGGCATGCTGTGTTTTATATACTTGAATAAAAATATCACATCTTCAAAATAGGAACTTTACTATATAAAAAAAAATAATAATAAAAATAAAATCAAATAACTTTTTATAATAATTTTTTTTGTAATTTTAAATAAAATAATAACAAAAACTTAATCAAATTTAATAAAATTTTTTTTAAAAAAACTTTATAAACTTGTAATAAATTTAATTAAATATTTAATAAATTATTTTTAGTTAAAGTTTTAAAAAAACTTACTAAAAATATTTGTTTAGTTTTTATTAATTTAATTTATATATTTAGTAAGAAAAAGTATATTAAATTATATAAATAAGATTGATTAGAGATAATAATTAAATTATATAAGGTTTTTATCTTAAAATGATCTTACAATCTTTTAAAATTAAATAACTTCTTTAAATTTTGCTTTTAACTTGTTAAATAATAAAAAAGATATTTAATATAGTATACAAAAAAGCATAATATTTTTTTAATCAAGTTAATATATATAACAAAAATTTTAACTTTAATACTAATAGGGTGTAATGACTTAGTAAAGTGGATAAGTTGTCATTCTTTCAAGTAGTAGGTTAGAAGTTTAAAACTACTAATAGTAAAATTTAAATAATCAACTATGTAATATATAGACAGTATTATGATAACAATATTCTGTTGATCAGTTGGGATAGGATATCTGTAACTATAGTTGCACCAGCATAACTGGCAGATCTGGGCATCTGTATAACCTGTTACACAGAGAAATGCAAACTATTACCAGGTAGTGCAAATCTAAAATAAGTCCTGGAGCTGTATAACTCTATAAAACTAAGAAGTTGAAGCTCACTTGGAAATTCTAAATAGAGAAGTAATACAGATCTTTAACAGTACTACTGTAAAGGTTAGACCTAGAAAATAGATACCAATATAGAGGAATCAAGCAGACAAGAACCCTTAAAACTACTTTATCTTTGACAGGAAACTTACTAAAGCCTTTATGTTCTATATATATTGGCCTAGTTTTATACAGCATGGGGGACATTCGAATCCGATATATTCCGGATTCATCATTACACAAGTATTTATATAGTATATACTGTAAAATCACAAGTTTTTGACGTATAACAAACTGCAAAAAAAATCAAATATCGACATGATACTTTATTAAGTAAACAACTTCACAATGAGTGCCTCTACAAAGAAATCAAGTTGAATCACGCTGAATCATACTATAAGAGTTGGGTATACTATGAATAAAAATATTGTATACTAGACAATAGGATTTAAATTCATAAGCGGTAGAAGTTTAATAATATTCTATGTTTATTGTCTTTTTTACAAATTAACAGGTACTATAAACGTTTTACTAAGGACGAAGATTTAGATCTTGAACTGGTTTACGGTCCAGTTTCTAATTTCTCATATTTGTTTTCTTTATTCTTTTCAGTTTATTAACTTTTTTTCCTCTTCTAGGTTTGTACATTTTCAGAATGTGGAATAATGATTTGGATCTTGAAAGAAATTTGGACTGGCTTAACAATAATGTTATTGTCTAATCCTTTTTTCTTTTTTTTTTTTCTGCTATTTTTGAGACTTGGATCTTAAAAAAAACTTGCAACTTGTCTACAGATAAATCTAGGTTTTAATTTTCTTGTTTTTGTTTTGTGCTGTTCTTTCAGGTTTACTAACTTCTTTTTTTTTTCTTTTCCAGGTTGTGCTTTACCAGGAACATGGAATTATACTAGAATGAAGCTTCAGGCCTTTAAGAGATAAGTACTAGTTTCTCTTTTTTGTTTTTAGTTTTGTTCCAGTCTCTTTGGTTTTGCTAACTTCTTTTTTTCTTTTCAGGTCTATGCATTAACAGGAACATGAAATGATACTTTTTGAAACAAAGCTTTGGGTCTTTAAAAGATAAGTATCAGTTTCTCTTTTTCGTTTTTTAGTTTGTTTTATTCTTTTTGGTTTTGCTAACTTTTTTTTTTCTTTTCTAGGTTTGTGCTTCGCCGAGAATGTAGAATGGTACTAGAAATGGAGCTTCGGATAAGTACAGTTTAAGCTTTTCTTTTTTGTCCTTTGTTTTGTTCTAGTCTCTTTGGTTTTGCTAACTTCTTTTTTTCTTTTCAGGTCTATGCATTGACAGGAACGTGGAATGATACTTCTTGGAACAAAGCTTTGGTCTTTAAAAGATAAGTATTAGTTTCTCTTTTTCGTTTTTTGGTTTGTTTCATTCTTTTTGGTTTTGCTAACTTTTTTTTTTCTTTTTCAGGTTTGTGCTTCGCCGAGAATGTGGAATGGCACTAGAAATGGAGCTTCGGGTAAGTACCAGTTTAAGCTTTTCTTTCTTGTCTTTTGTTTTGTTCCAGTCTCTTTGGTTTTGCTAACTTTCTTTTTTTCTTTTCAGGTCTATGCATTAACAGGAATGTGGAATGATACTTTTTAGAACAGAGCTTTGGGCCTTTAAAAGATAAGTATCAGTTTCTCTTTTTCGTTTTTTGGTTTGTTTTATTCTTTTTGGTTTTGCTAACTTTTTTTTTTTTTTCCAGGTTTGTGCTTCGCCGGGAATGTGGAATGGTACTAGAAATGGAGCTTCGAGTAAGTACAGTTTAAGTTTTTCTTTTTTGTCCTTTGTTTTGTTCTAGTCTCTTTGGTTTTGCTAACTTCTTTTTTTTCTTTTCAGGTCTATGCATTGACAGGAACGTGGAATGATACTTCTTGGAACAAAGCTTTGGTTTTTAAAAGATAAGTATCAGTTCTCTTTTTCGTTTTTTGGTTTGTTTCATTCTTTTTGGTTTTGCTAACTTTATTTTTTCTTTTTCAGGTTTGTGCTTCACCGAGAATGTGGAATGGCACTAGAAATGGAGCTTCAGGTAAGTACCAGTTTAAGCTTTTCTTTCTTGTCTTTTGTTTTGTTCCAGTCTCTTTGGTTTTGCTAACTTTCTTTTTTTCTTTTCAGGTCTATGCATTAACAAGAACATGGAACGATACTTCTTAGAACAGAGTTTCAGGCCTTTAAAAGATAAGTATCAGTTTCTCTTTTTCGTTTTTTGGTTTGTTTCATTCTTTTTGGTTTTGCTAACTTTTTTTTTTTTTTATGTTTGTGCTTCATAAGGAATGTGAAATGGCACTAGAAATAGAGCTTTAGATAAGTACCAGTTTAAGCTTTTCTTGTCTTTTGTTTTGTTTCATTCTTTTCAGTTTTACTAATGATTAGTCATTATGCAATTATAAGATCATTTATTATGTGATTATGAATAATTATTATGCAATAATAAAATCGGTCATTAAAATTGTTCACTATTAAAATTGTTTGTTATGCAATATTAAATTGGCTGTTACGTAATGATGAAATCGTTCATTGCACAGTTCTATTTTGTAGGGCTATCAAACTATAATCACGCATAACTTATACGGTCTATTGTGATGATAATTGTCCTCATTTGCATGATCGTTAAACGATTATGATTATGAGAATCATTTCTGATTAATTATAAATGATCATGCATATATGCATATGAAAAATAATTAGTACATATGATAATAAAATTATTTACTAAAAATTATAATATAATAAAATTATTTTTAAAATTTATAAATATAGTATTTAGTATTTAAAATTTTTAAAAAAAATTTCAAAATTTTTAATATACAGTATATTAGTAAAATACAAATTAAAGATATTTCAACAAAATATTCAAAATTGTTCTGTTTGTTTAGAAGAAATTACAAAAATTAGAAATATTACAGATGATCTTAAATTTAAAATTAATAATTGTTCTGATAGAGATTATTATAATCATCTTATATATGAAAATGACAAATTATGTTCTAAATATTATATGAAAATTATAAATTCTTATCATCGACAAAAATCTATGATTAATGAAGATAATTTAATAGAAATTAGTAAATCTACTACAGATTTAATGAAAATTAGTAGTGAATCTAATATTTCAACAAATTTAATGGAAATTAATGAATCTAATACTTCAACAAATTTAATGGAAATTAATAATTTAATAGAAATTAGTGAATCTAATACTTTAACAAATTTAATGGAAATTAATAATTTGATGGAAACTTGTAAATCTAATACTTCAACTAATTTAATAGAATTAATTGAGATTCAAAAAAAAGAATTAATTGAAAATACTGAAAATTTAAACAAAATTAATCAACAATTTAATAATATTGAAATTAATATTACTAATAAGAGAGTTTTAATTGATAAAGAAAACTTTGATCAATTAATCAAATTAATTATTCAAAAAAATTTAAAAATTGAAGCCTTAACTAATCAAAATAATAATAATTTAACAACTATTAATATAGATAATTCTGGTAATTATTATATTTTAATATTTAAATTTAATTTTAATAAATTTAATACTAATTTATATTTTTTATAAGCTCAAAAATATTCATTTTCTCAACAAATAGAATTATTAACAACTATTTTATTAAAATATCAAAAAGAAAATAATGAATATATATTAGATCCTAAACAATTTTAGCAAATAATTGAATTAAAAGAGCCAAAATTAAAAGGATTTTTTGAAGAAATGATGGATGCATTAATTCCAACAAAAAGATTGATTAAAAATAGAGAAAAAGCAAAAAAACAAGTAGTTGCATATTGTTATCTTTTAGTTGGAATAAGAAATAAGTTTGCAAATAATTTTAAATTAGATCTTGCACTTTTTTTACAATCTTCAGGAATGTCTAATTTAGGAATTAATATTTTATCAAATATTGGTCTTAGTGTTCATTTAAAAACTCTTCAAAGATATAAAAAAGATATAACAAATACTCATTTATCTAAACTTAATGAATATTTTAATTTAAATGTAAGTTTATTTTTAATTTAATATAATATATTTTATTAATAAATTTTATTAATTAATTAATTCCTTTATTTTTAGTCTAATATTTTTCATTGTTTTAATACTGATGATTTTCATGATATTCATAAAATACGTCAACCAGATACTACAACACTTTCTACTGTAAATCATATGGCAACATGTATATCAAAACCAATTTCTAAAACATTACCTGTTTTAGCAAATATATATAATTTAGAACATTCTAATTGTTCTTTTTTTAATCCAAAAAATATTGAATAGTTTTCTATTAGACAATATTTAATAATTAAAATCAAAGAAGCTTTTGATATAAGTTATAATACACAAAAATCAAATTGGGTAAAAAATATTCAATTTAAAAATCAAAATCAAATTGAATTACTTACATTACATATGTATGATAATGCAATTGCTGAACGCAAAGAAGAAAGATTAATGAAAAATATTAAAATAATTAATATAAAAAAACAAAATTTACATTCTATAGAAGATTATTTAAATGCACTAAAAATGATTACTTCAATAGAATCATTTCAACCATATCTTCAAAATAATGTAATACCTATAATTGCTGATTGGCCAGGACAATATTTTATTAGAAAAATTATAACACATTATTATAAAATAGTTAATACAGCAGAATATAATAATATATTAGTTCCTGAAAATATTAGTAATTTTATTCCAATTATAGGACCTCTTCATATTTCTTTAAATTTTTGTGAACAAGTTATTCTTGTTCATTATTTATTTTTTAAAAAATTTTTTCATTATATATTTGGTGAAAAAAAAAATTTTGCAAAAAAGCCAAAACCTTGGAGAATTAATTTATTACTTGAATTAATTCATAAAGGTTGGCAA